GTCTATGGTCACTAAAAATCTTAACATAAATTCTTGATCTTCTAATATAAAATTGATTATTAATTTTTCTTCATTTAAAAACTGCGCATAACTTTTTGCTAATTTAAAAATTGGACATACATTTATATCAATAAAAAAACTGGGCATACATTTTTAGCCATTGAAAACTTGAAATAAACATTTGTTTTTATTTAAAAAGTGGACACAAAATTTTGTAAAATATAAAATTTTTAAATATTTTGGTCACTAAAAATTGGACGAAATATATTTTTTTGGCCTCAAACTAAATAAATTTGTTTGTTATGATTTGTTACTAGGCCAAAAAATAGCGAAAAACAAATGGTATTTTAATTTTTAATATCATTATCGATTTTTGTCGAAACCATTGCGAAAATGTTGATTAAACTTGCCCTCGCTTTCCTTTTTCGCCTTTGATTTTTACCCCTCACTTAACACTAAAGCCTTAACTATCTCAAAAAAAAAATATGCAAAAAAAATCGAATTCTACTAACAGACTCTCTTAGAAACACCTGGAAAGTTTCTCAACGACATGAATACAACAACTCCAGGAGCAACTTGAACTATTGCGGATACAACATCAAAGCTCTGTGTAAAACACGCAGCGTGACATTCATACAAAAACATATCCAATGACATGCACATACATATAATTTATGGGTAGTAAACGCATTTGTGCGTCTCCCCTTTTCTAACCAGCTTTTTCGTTTCCCCACACTGTTTCATAGCCATACCAATCCCCTTGGGCTCTTAGTTACTAGCTGCTTACATTGCCGAGCCGTAGACGTTCTCCGTGCAGTTCTTCCTTTAACAACATCTACTGCCACATACATATGTACATACATGCACATAGATATGAACTACTTTGATATTCGGTTTTTCAGCAGCGTGGAAGCGTATTCAGGAGCATTTGACTCAGTTTTTACATTTTCCCTACTATTTGTTCCATGTTTTTATTCACCTTTATTATCAGTAAGTATGTATGTACGTATGTATGTATCTACATATATCCTTCCATGTTGTTGCTCTCACGCAATTAATTATCCTCGGGCATTATTATTTCTTGTTCTTTTGTATGAATGTTTTGTACGAGTTTGCACATTTTCAATGAGTTGTTCACGACTTCAGCTTTGTTTTACTATATATTTATGTACATACATACATGCATACTACTGGCGACCATTGTTGAAATGTTTATTTTATTACAACTAGTTATTATTTTATCTTTGTTTTTACTTCTGCTTGTTCATTTTGAACTTTTGGCTTAACTCGACATTTGTTTGCATTCTGCGGGAGAGCACAGCGCAGCGTAATTAAAAGTGTCCATTAGCGTCTCATTATAAAATTGTACTTTCAGCTCTCTTACTTCCTAAATATCAGCAGTGGAAACGTGTTTGTAGAAAATATTTAATATCGTTGTTAAATATCAATAATCGTAGCTAAAAGCTATTAAAAGGTGGCCAGGAGTTAGCCCCTGAAGGTTGTCAGATAATAGTATAAGCGGCCTTGAATTTAAAATGGCTTCAATTTGAGTCACTAATGCTGACATTTCTTCAAATATCATTGTACCTTCAACTACCCTAAAGAAATGCTTTTTTACTGATTTGATTGTCGTTTCGGATAGCCCTCCTACCTGGGGAGATCTTGCTGGTATATTTACCCAAGTAATTTCTATTTGACTGCAGTATGTTTGTGAGCTACTTTTTATTATTTTCTTTCTGAAAGAGCTTATAAACCTCGTGAAGACTATTAGCTGCTCCTATAAAGTTGGTGCCATTATTAGAATATATTTTGTATGGGCAACTTCGTCTTCCTATGAATCTTTTAAGGACTGATATGAACGCTGCTTAAATCAGGTCTACATACTTCTAAATGAACAGCTTTCGTTGCGAAGCACGCAAACACACAGACATAACCCAGTGGGAAAATGTAATGTACAGTAATAGAAAAAATAATCAGTAAAACAACCCTTTTCACATTCGAAAATGCATTTTTTCCCCCAGTGCGATGTCCTAAGAAAGGTGGGGCATTCAATTTTGCATTACCTAGTATCGAGAAATGAATGTCTTGTAATATGAAATTTTTGGAACTTTTTTGAATACATTAGAATGCTGATTACATAGTGAGCAGTAATATAATCGAGAACTCATAAGAAATACATTACATTATTTATCACGCATGTAAAGCATTACTACTTTTCCGACTGGGAAGTTTTGTCAGCTCTATATCCTCGTATTTTGTGATGAAACAAAATGGGGCCTATAGAAAGATCCGATGGTCGTTAATCTATCGTGTGGCAAATTTCCCATCAATGGATGTAATCATAGCATTTATTCACTATTTTATCTGCTATTTGCCTGCCGCGTATCCAAAAATTTTTTCGGCTTTTTGCTAATAGTCCCTGTGGCTCAACGTGTAAATGCTTTTAATGCAGGTAGGTAATTAGAAGTCGTATGAATTCACCTTCATACGGCGATCGAATAGAATGTTTCGCATCTTCTGGAAGTCCGCAATTCTGTACTCTGCCTCCTCCTCTTATTATACTATTCATGTCTAAAATTGGAGCTAATGTGGCTTACCCTTAATTTTTGGGCAGCTGCTTATTCGAGGCAATAAACTTTACTTCTAAACTAAAATATTTTTTAACCGACTTCACAAAAGGGAAGGTTATCACTTCGTCGAAATATTTTTTTTATGTATGTCCTGTTTGGACCACGTTAACCGAATTCTATAATTTTTTTTAAAGGTGTTACCTCACAGGTGATCCCATACTAATTTGGTTTAAATCCGATCATTACATCATGAGGAAATTAACGATAATCTTAAATTTTTACATGAGAATTGAAGTAGGTTTTTTTTTGCTTAAAAATTACTTGTTTTTAATTTAGTATAAATTTACTTATATTTAAATGGCTTTTCTAATAGCCGGTTCCACCAGCAACTTAAACGGACTAAAAAGTAGAAAACAATATTTCTCAGTCCTACAGATTGAAATCTCATAAATTATTTATAACGAATTTTGCTAGAATTCTAAAATCAAAAGTTATCAAAACAAATTGACTATGGGACTGAGAAATATTATTTTCCACTTTTTAGTCTTGTCTGTATAAAATTTTGTACTAGATATTAAAATAACTCAACGATATTAATAAATTGGTGCACACACTTGCATATACATATGTATGTACATTAGGGTGGTCCAAAAACAGTAAAGTCGGAATTGTAATGGTCTCACCCCCTAGGGTTGTTCTATATCGAAAAAATATACCCCTATTTTTTATTTTGAAATCTAGAAATATTTAGAGGTCGCTCAAAGCGCTTAAATTTTCCATGTATTTTTATATGAAAAAAAACAACTTTTCGTAGAAATGGTATAGAATTCTTGAAAATCAATATATATATATTTTTTTGATATTTTAGAATACTACACCATTTCTATGAAAAGTTGTGACCTCCAAATATTTTTCGATTTAAAAATAAAAAATAGGGGTATATTTTTTCGATATAGAACAACCCTAGGGGTGAGAGCATTAAAATTCCGACTTTACCTTTTCACATGCATTTTTGGACCACCCTAATAAACAAACATACGAGCACCAATTAATTTCATTTAAAGTAATGGCGTGTCGTCCATTTCCGCTGTAGCGTATGCGGTGCACATTTTTAGGCGCAATATTTAACTACTTGCGGCGAACGACATCTACCTCTAGAGTCTTTGATATGATACCTTCCGGCGAGGCTGATGTCTGGACTTTTTTATAGGATCTTTGCAAAGCAAAAGTTTTATAGCTACAAATGGTGTCTGAACACACAACATTACGATAATAAAAGCGTTGTAAAAAAAAAAACAAATGCATACGTGTCAATATGTGAGAGTCGTATAGTTATGATAAGAATTACATACATACATATAACATGTTACTCTTATATTGGTGAAAATATTTTAGTAATACTTTTTCATAAGAAATTTTTACGTTTTCTGATTCACAAAAAACCGAAAATGAACAAGTAATTTTTAAGCAAAAAACCAAATCGACTTAATTTCTAATATACAAATTTAAGAGTATCGTTAATGAACCAAGGGTTGGATCTAAACCAAATTAGTATGGGACCACCTCTGAGGTATCGCTTTCCTTAAAAAATATTCCGATGAATTCATAACCTCTTCATTTTTTTAAGTCGGTTAAAACATTTATATCTACTACGGAATTTTAGTTTTTGCTTTCATATTCTAATGGATTTACTCCTGAATCGAGTTTTAGGAGCCTTATAATTTGCACATATGCCCACTAAACACAAATTTGTTTAACAAAATATACAACTTTTCATAAGTGGTAGTACATAAATGTCTATAGTATCTACGAAAATCATTGCAAGTAGCTAATAGTACCTAGTTATTTTATGATTGAAATGTGTGTCACTAGTGAAAAGAGAAACAGAGCCTGTTTTACAAAATTTTACAAACATTTGTCGATAAATTTTTTAACAATATCGTTGTTGTTGTTGTTGTACCAATTATGTACCATTCAACATATCGTATTTCAGCACCACTTACGTGTAATTGAAATTTTCCATTTGTCGAACGCCAATTCAATTAACTGTAATTTGAACGAATCGTATACAAAATTTTTAACTAAAATGAAAATAAATTACTTAATTGCAAATGGATTTGAATGCAATTAAACAAAATGGACGTCCTTTCACTTCACAGAAACAGCATTTCAATCATAAAGTTCTTCTATGCTAGTCGTTGTATTCACAACACAAACATTTCGTACATTCATTACGAAAACTTTTGAGTGAAAGTAATGGAATTGAATAAATTATCTCGTAATTAAATCAAAAATTAAAAAAATTCAAATAAATCACAGCAAAAATAAAATAAACCAATGCAAAACCAGATAAGTTTTTAAGTGCAAGCAATGCAAAGAATGTACTTGATATTGAAAACTAATGGAAATCTTGTTTCTGTGTCGTTAAAGGTTGTCCAGACGGTTGCCACCGATCCTACTACTAATATGTAAAAAGCCAAACAAGAAGCAAGCATTCGGACGCTGAAGAAAGCTAAAAAAAAGGCTAAGAGTGGGTTGAGGAAATCTAAAGTACGCCAGCCACAAGCCGAGTACACAAAAGTTTTGCCGTAAGGACAGCAAACGAACAAACAAATACACATACACAAATACCAATGCCAGAACAAGGGAAGCAAACACAATGTGCCTGTTAGTAACAACAAGAAAATCAACAAAAACAAGCAACACAGCAAAAAAAAACGCCGCTAATACCACAAGGAGCAATGCGAAGGACGAAGGAAGTATTCGTTGAAACTAATGCAAAAGTTCTTGCATTCGAAACAAACTAGTAGGTACAGACAGTAGTTGGAAAGTAAAACCACGAAAGCTACAAAGCACCGAAAAGGTGAAATACAACAAAAATGGTAATGGTAATAGAAATTCCGAAAGTAACTGAAAGCGCTCGGACTAATTATCAACACGCAGCAGCAACAAAGTACAGCATTGTCTATAAAAGAGGATAGTAAAAGCGGAAAGCAAGCGAACAAGCATAAAAGGACCTAACAGTACGTCCTTTGGAAGTAAAGTGAGCGACTAGCAAAAATACCATACAAGTACAAAAAAGCAACAAGAAAGTAAATAGAATATCAACGCGGCTAACAAATCAATTCACATCAAAATGGCAGGCTCCTTTCAGATACCTCTAATCAATCTGGAACTGCGTGAAATCAAGGATATCGTATGGGAGAAAATACAAGAGCCGGTGAACCAGCGCCGTCTCATCTTGGTAATAGTATCGATAGCGCTGTTGCTGGACAATATGTTGTATATGGTGATCGTGCCGATCATACCCGATTACTTGCGTGAAATCGGCAGCTTTGAAGTGGGCACACCAATGCCGCCGCTACTGCGCGATAACCGCACCGGCGAAATAATACCCGTGCACCACGACCATCACGGTCAGGACTCAGCCACCGGCATACTCTTCGCTTCGAAAGCCATTGTCCAACTGATGGTTAATCCATTCTCTGGTGGTCTTATCGATCGCATCGGCTACGATTTACCCATGATGATCGGTCTAACAATTATGTTCTTCTCAACAGCGATGTTCGCTTGCGGTCGCAGCTATAGTCTACTATTCTTCGCGCGTTCACTGCAAGGTGCAGGCTCCGCTTTTGCAGACACATCAGGCTTGGCCATGATCGCTGACCGTTTCACCGAAGAAAATGAACGCTCACAAGCGCTGGGTATTGCATTGGCCTTCATTAGTTTTGGTTGTTTGGTGGCGCCGCCATTTGGTGGTGCGCTTTATCAATTTGCCGGCAAGGAGGTGCCATTCCTCATCTTGGCGCTGGTGTGCCTACTGGATGGTCTTATGCTTTTGCTGGTAATGAAGCCGGTCAAAGAGCAACTGCGCCAAAGCAAAGAGGTGCAACAGCAATCGATACCTATTTGGCGCCTACTCATGGATCCCTACATTGCAGTGTGTGCCGGCGCTTTGACTATGTCGAATGTGGCGTTAGCCTTCTTAGAGCCCACCATATCACTGTGGATGGAGGATAATCTAACAACAGAGAATTGGAAAATCGGTATGGTGTGGCTGCCCGCCTTCTTTCCACACGTACTAGGCGTGGTCATCACTGTCAAAATGGCGAAAAAATATCCACATCATCAATGGCTCATGGCTGCCGTAGGCTTGGCGCTCGAAGGTTTCTCCTGCTTCATCATACCATTCTCCAGCTCCTATAAAATGCTCATGTTGCCCATTTGTGTGATTTGCTTTGGCATTGCGCTCATCGATACTGCCCTACTGCCTACGCTCGGCTACTTGGTGGACGTGCGCTATGTATCCGTTTACGGCAGCATATACGCCATAGCCGATATTTCATATTCAATTGCATACGCAGTCGGTCCGATTATAGCGGGCGGCGTTGTGGAGGCAATCGGCTTTACGGCGCTCAATTTCATCATTGCCTTCTCCAATTTGCTGTATGTACCCGTGTTGCGTAAACTACGCAACATCTACGATTTTAAGCCGTTCGAGAATGAAGCCAACATACTGATGCAAGATCCACCGAACAAAGAGTATCAGACATATGTGATGCACGATCAAAAGCCAGTCGATGGCGATTTTAAAAATCATCTCGAGTATGGCCAACAATATCAGCAAGAACAAGAATCGAATGTGGATGACAGTAATTATGATTACCAACAACAAGGTGGATACCAGCAGGCTGATGGTGGAGGTTATCAACAACAAAATCAACAAGGCTATCAGCAACAGTATCAGCCTGGCTATCAGGAGCAGGGTGGCAATTATCAGCAGGAATCGCGACATCTTCCACAACAACGCGTCGCAAATCCCTTCCAACATCAACAGCAGCAACAGGCGCAAATGAGCGATGGTGTCGGCAGTGGCGGAAGCAGAGGTCCGGCTGGTCCAGCGAATCCATTTAGACAAGGATTTTAAAATGTTGTCTTACACAAAAATGGCGGTAATCTACATATGTTTGTTTATATATACAAATATTTGAACGCATAGTTTATGTATTTCGTTGATTTTCTAATAATGTGACATTTTGTTGTTGTGGCTAATAGGTGTAAAATTACAAACACACATACATACCTACATACATATAAGATGAAAGAGTTGGAGAAATTCAAAAAACAAAAAGTCAATAGTTCTTAGAGCAAAATGGCCTGTAAACTATTTATAACCGATTAGCAAATTGATATGTATGTATGTAGATATCAATGAATGAATAGACGTGCTTACACACCGAAAAGCAGAGAAATATGCATTCATGTAAAAACTTTAGATAAAAGAATCTCAAAAGTAGTTAAATAAATAATTTTCAATGCAAGCAACATATGCAACTTTTGTATTATACACTGAAAAAAAATTTACAAAAATATAGTATATGCATAATTCGCATTTATCGACTAGATATATACACACACATACATTATGCATGAAAATGCACGCCAGATAGCAATATATGTTAGTAATATGAACATGTAAGAATATAAATTATGTATGAAAGAAGCGCATTAGTGCGGTTATTGTGTGTAAAGCTTTGCAATGTATGATGCAAAAATTCTTAAGCACAAATTAATTTATGCAAATAATTGGGAGTAGTGATTGCTTCCTCTTGTCTTGTTTGTCGGAAAAACAAACTCTGAAAAGGACTTGTAAAATATATTTTTTATTCACTAACAGGCAATTTATTTTCACTGTAGACATTGTATGGCGTGAATTAATATTTTTGACTAATTTTTAAGCTGATTTTTAATTAAAAATAATAATTTTTGAACTCCGATTGACAATATGTGACTGAAGTTTAAGTTAAGAGTCTATCAGTTTACTTATAAAAAGGAATTGGAATGATTTATATATGTACTAAGAAAAGAGTTTATTCACGTCCACTAAATATGTTTCTCTCAGTGTAGCCAGATCGGTCAATTTGGGCATTCGCATTATTTCATGACATTTCAGTTTAATTAATGATTAGCATGCCCATATTGTACAGTCGACGGTTTTACCTTTAAAGGCATAAAAGGATAAAGCCTTAAAGAAACCTAACCTAACTTCACATATTGAAAGATTTTCTTTTTCGAATGCAGAAATGTTCCGGAAATCCCGTGTTAATCCCGAAACCTCGAAAATCCCTTACGGAAATTATAACTCAAACAATCTTTGAAACTGCTGGTAAAACAACAAAAACAGTCTAGAAAATTAGGCCAAAGTTTTTTTTTTTTAAATACCGAAAACTAAAAAACGAACAATCCCCAAAAGTCCCGAAAAATCCCTACAAGTTTGGAGAAAGTGTTAAAAAGTATCGAAAAATAACGAAAATCAGGTAGCTTTTATTTTATTCCTAATCCCGAAAAGTAATCCATGAAAAAAAGTCCGAAGAAAATATTGACAGTTTCGTAAAGTCCAGAAAATCAGGTAGCAATTCATTATATTAATAATTCAGAAAAGTCCCGAAGTACGAATAGTCCCGAAAAAAATCCAAAAGGCCGGAGAAATGTTGAAAATTTTCGATAAATCCCAAAAATCACAGAGCATTTTATGTATTATATTTTTAATCCCGAAAAGTCTCGAAACGCGATTAATTTCGAATAAGTCCCGTGGCGTACCGACAAAAATGGAGCTAAGGCCTCGAGAAATTGCCAACAAAAATTTTGGAAATCCATTTGAGTTGACCTTTCGGTCGGGCCTTTATGAGGGTTTGAAAACATTGATGGATAAATAAATCGTAAAAAGTCGGCAAAATTTTTGACTTGCAATCTGACATATTATTTAAGCTTATTCATATAAATATATAAACTCGCTGGTTATAGCTAGGTCAAAGTGAAAACTTTGTTTTAAAACAATTCAGTTTATTTTCAACCGTAGCTACGACCCAAACATTTTTTTTTTTATTTTAAAAGTTTCGTGGATGTCTCTATTTTGTACGCAGGAAAAAAATGGGTGCCTCATGATGTGCTTTGAGTACCACCCTAGTACATATGCAACATTTTAACAAGCAAATCTTCGTTTAAAGTACAAAACCGCGTATCAACAAAATGCAAAACCACGCATGTAAGGTTGCATAAATTATTTTCTAGAGAACAAAAATATTCGTATTTCAAAATGGTTCTCTTGTTTTAGAAAGCAATCACTTTTCTGTCTAGTATATTTCGGAACGAATAGATGAGGCTTGAGCCCAGAGTTTGTGTGAGTAAATCCAATTTTTGGCAAAAAAATGTCAGTTACGTGGTTTTGTACTTTAAACGACGAAATATTTTATGAATTTCACTCAAATGGCTTTAAATTTCAGTCACATTTGCCTCTCTACAAACGGCTAATTAGAAATTATAAACTTTTTGAAATGCATTTTTTATCAAAAGTTAATGTGTTGTAAATTAAACGATCGTGAAAAAGAAGCTAGCAAGACCAAAGATTGTATAGTAATCATACATAGAATAGAAGTCAGAAAGATATACCTACGTAAAACAAAGATTAAAAAATTAAAAATTAGTACATGTAAGTGATGTAAGTGGGCGATCTTCCAATTCAGTGCCACCATCCATCCAACAACACTATCCACGCGGCATCAATATCGCTTACATATCAAAAAGTTGCACAAAATCACTTCGGATGTCGATGTGCAGTGACGTTGGGGCACTGAATTGGCAGTTGGCCTAGGGTTCTAGGTTTAATAAAAAACAAAAATCAAACAAAAAAAAACAAAAAACAAATCCTCAGTTCAATTAAGTGTTTAGTTTAAGTTTGACGATGCATTGCGACTTGGTTGGCAAAGGTTTAAACCGCACGCAAGCTCGCATATCAACTAAAAGTGGACGTGTTGTGGGTCGAACCGCCGACGTACATATTGTACATACAACATAGTCGCTGCGTCCGATAACAATTCTTAAACATAAGACACAACCAAGGTAACGATACATATCAGAGTCGAATGGCTCGCCTGTTTAAATTACCACAGTGATATTAATTATTGCTAATTAGCATGTATTGTATAGGTACGTACTTACATACATACATACATACATATATATACATATAATATATACATAAATATATATAGTATACATATATAAATATATATTATTAATGTATAAATGCATACATATGCATATCTCTACTCATGTATGAGTCTTTGTGTAAATGATTTCTCTCTGATATTAAGCAACTAGTTACTGAAATACAAAATATTGCTAACTTACATATATACAATGTACTATAAAATTTAATATTTTCAATGAAATTACGCGCTGAATGCTGTAGCTAATGTTTAAATGTACATACATACAAGTATTTATATTCGAAGCGCGTATTATACTGCATACTAACTTACACACACATGTAAGCGCTTGCATACATCTAAATAAATATGTAAGTAGCTATCAATTTATTTAATAGTGTTTCTAAGGAAGTATTTCGAAAATGAAAATGAAAAGCAAACTTTACTTTTTATATAAGCAAAAATTGTTGTAGTTAATTAAAAAAAAAAATAAATAAATAAAATACGCGCGAAAAACTATACTAAGTTATATATTTTACGCGCATAAATATCGAAAGAACACGAACGATGTGGCAATACTGTGTAACACATTTTATTTGCATTTAACATTATTTTTGAAATTTTAGTTATTAAATATTTGAGATTGTTAAGACCGACTGTTTTCTACTTTGGTCTCTTCAGACTGGAATAAAATGTTGCAGTTTTCAAATGGCATCATACCTAACTTCAAAACATTTGTTGCATCTGCGATATAGTATCTTCCCAAAATCAGTTTTTCGCCGTACTTATTGGCCTTTCTTAACACTCACACCATCAGAGCATAAAATTGTTTTATGACTCCCTTCTGAGGTTGGAGCCAAACGCATCCTTCTACAAACAAATCCATACAGGGGGCGAATGGGAGACTGGCAGTCTCTAGAGTATAGGTCCAATAAACATCTTCACGGGCGGATCGAAGCTGTACGGGAGAGTTGAAGGAGGTGCCCACTGTCAGAAACTCTCAACAGATCTTATGTTAAGACTGCCGGATCTCTACAGCATTTTCAGGCAGAGGTGACCGCTATAAAAGAGTCAGCAGAATGGCTATGTACCAATGTTTTGCCGACTAGGAGGATAGAGATCGACTCTGATATCGAAACTGGTCGCCGAGTGCCTGATCTCTCTCTCAACCGCCTCAGAATACTTCCAAATCAAGCAGGGACGACGAATTAGCCAGACAGAGCACTCACGAGACCATCGCCGCTGGCAACCTGCGGCCTGCTCTTAGACAGATGGGCTCATAATCGCCTAAGCGAGCGCTAAGCTCAAAGCCGATACGCAAAGTTGCAAGGTCTTTCTGGCCGGTTGTTAACCGCAGGCGGTCAAGGGCGCTTCTGCAGCTTTCGATTCTTGCAGGTTTACAGAGCGGACATTGTCTTTTAGGAATACACGCGGTGCGACTTAATATCTTCACAGATCCCTACTGCCTACATTTTTAATTTTGCGGCACTACTCTGGCATAACCTAGGTCTGGATATTGTTGAACATATTCTGTCTTATCCTGAGTTTCACCTGAAAAAAAATCACCCGAAAATTTGTCATCTACCCATAGTAAAGCCTTGGAAACCAAAAGTGAAAAGTGAACCGGTTCGGGGAAAATGAAACTCATGATAAGGCTGATTATGAAGTCCAACCTATCCAGACTACACCCTAACATGTACCCAACTATGTGCTATATATGAACAACCTCTTCATATTTCCCCTTAAACCCATTCAACTAACAGCCTTTTCCCCCTAGCTAAGAGTGGGCCATAGATGGGCAAGGGCGCTTCTGAGTTCCAAAATGAAAAATGATAAGATGGAAAAATTTCAAAACATTCCTTTAAGTTATCTACTTTCGAACCATCTCGGTAATCCGGTCTGTGGTGTATCCGGTCCACTTTTACAAATAATTCTATGGTCTAACAAGTACAGTCTGTCGATGTACAATGTTTGTCCGATTGCCGACATTGTAATGTATGGAAGATAGGAGTATATTTTATTTGCAGAATTTTTTTTTCATGAACAAAAAAATTGTTTCACAGTGTTTCTTAGCGTTGCATGAATAGGTGCCCGATCGGTCGAGAATTTGAAAACATGCGCAAAGGGTGGTCCTTAAAATATCAACATCACGAGGCAATCCTTAATTTTTTTTTACTTACAAAATAAAGACATGCTGAAAATTTCAAAATGTTAGACACATTTTTACACCGGGGTTTCAAAGAACTGTTTTTTCTTATTCACAGAAGTTAGAACAAATGTTGACTTTGACAAGCTTTAAAAGATTGCAGCTGTTCAAAATTTAAATTTTGTTGAATTTTAGATATTTAATTATTTCAGACCCTAGCAGCGAATATATTTAAAATTTGGACATTTTGTTGATGTCTTTATACGTACGTAGAACAAAATAAATGGGTGCCCATATAAAATTTAGATCTTAGCATTTTTAAGGACTCCCCTAATAAATATACAAAAAAGGCATAAATAGGTTTATAGAATTGTCAATGTATGTACATATATAAAAATGTGAAAGAATAAAAAATGTGAAATTTCATATCTACCTACCAATCAATTATTATTTGCTTGACTTTATGCGCTGCATTTAAAAAGCTGCGAATATTTTGTAGCAGCAGTCATAAATGTCGAAACAAGTAGCAGGTGTACCTTAAATGTGAACTACATACATACATGAAATAAAAATATTTACATAATATACATACACATATACATACAAATAGATACATATTACTTGCAAATATGTTAGAATGCACACCGTTGGCAGAGAACTCGTTCAATTCGTTTCAATTGCACATTTACCAAAGTACACAAAAAAAAATATCCAAAAACCAAGAACCCTGTATACAAAATACATACATAAAAATACTGAAAAGCATATGTATACCAAAAACCAAAAACTGCTATACATATATGTACATACATAAAAATATCTATTACTAAAAAGACATGAAACGAAAATTTTGTATAAAAAAAACGAATACAAAAATTTTTATATTACCTATTGCTAATTCTAGGTGTCGATTTAGGAGGTTTGCTGATAATTTTTGCAAATTATTGCAATTATTTTGTTTACGATATTAAATTATGTATTATATCCACCCTTTACGGCAAAAAAAAAGCTTATAGAAATTAGAATTTTTTATTATTCGAGTATTCGGCTCGTATAAGCAGTTAACTAACAAAACGAAAAAGCAACAAAAACTTATCTGCAGACTCATGTATTTTATGTACGAAAGTGTTAAAACCGTAAACATATCAGATAATACGGCCATCTAAAATATTTAAGCGCTATATACAACAATTACATACCTACATACACATACATATATCTACATCTCCATAGTATGTAATTGACTATTTATGTAGATGCATCATAGGTTTACAATCATACACACAGACGTTCTTATATATATATATATATATATATATATAAAGTGCAAATAAAACCCCAGATACTATGTACATTCTTACATACTAGGGTTAGGGTGGTCCTTAAATATCAACATCTAAATTTTGTTTAGAGCACCTATTTTTTTGTTCTAAGTACAAAATATGAAATTCAGTGAAATTTTAATACAATTTTTAAGGATTTTAAATATAAAATAAATAAATATAAAAAAATCACACAAATTCGAAAAAATTTTGACTTTGTCTTAGAGAATGTTGGTCCGATTAAAACAAGTGGTATGCCGTTTTACGCGTATTTTAACTATTTTCCAAGGAAGTACTCATTGTACGGATAGAGCTTGCCAGTTTAGCAAAGAAAAATTTAAAAAAACATTAGTCGTAAAACGCAAACAAAAAATTGCCTGCCGTTCGTACCAATTCTCTCCTAATATCTCTCAAGGAAACTATTTGCGAACTTGTATATGCTAGGAAAAAAAAAAAAAAAAAAATACTGCACTTTTTCGAAAAAAAATTACACAAATGGCAGACTTTGAAGCTTAATGTTGCATAATGAATGCATTTGGCGATGAATGAATTTATCGGACAGTTTTCAACAATATTTCAAATTTATTAGATTTAAATTTTTTTTAATCTTAATAGCAACCCCTACAATTTTTTTTTTTTTTTGTACATGGAACCAAATTAAGGGGCACCCTTTATAAAATTTAGATGCCGATTTTTCAAGAACCACACTAATGCATACACACATCCATAAAAATTAATATATGTACACATATTATGTAATTAATTTTTTTCGTTTCATGTTTAAAATGAAATAATTAAATAATATTTTTCCGGGCTAGTCCCTTAGACCAAAGTTCAATTAAACTAAGCCTTGCATATCGATGAAAAAATTTCAATTAAATTGTCATTCGATTGTGTTACTAAATATACAAGTTTTAACTCACAAAAACAAAACATTTTCCAAAGTTATTTTCATAATATCTTGAAAATTATCAAGCCTACTTTTTTCACAGCACAATTAATGCCCATTTGCCGATGAAGAGCTAATTCACATCCAGCGATTTGCTCACAATATTTGTACTGAAAATCTATAGATAACTGCTAAATGTGAGTTAACTCCCCGCTGTGAAAATATCACTAAGTTGGGTAAGCCCATTTTCACATTTAGCCGGCTGTTTTGAGTACAATTTTAAAAGTTTAGTACCGAGAGTAAAAAAAACTCTACACTTTGAAAGAGACTCTAACCCGAATTATAGAACAGTAAATACT